GTAGTACGGTTGATGGAGGAAATCTTGCCCCGCCTATTTAATAGCAAGTGACGCGACACATGAGCATAACCCCACACCCCCTGTTTAATAATGACGATGATGGATACCGAGGTGGTGCAAGATTTTTGTCATTGGAACCAACGGCGCTTCGGAGGATCAACAGTCAATGTTAGAATGGGGGCGTGGGGTCTTTGCTTTGCTCGGCCACTTAAAGTGGTGCAGGATTTCCTCCATCAGCAGTAGTTGCCAAACTTACTGTATAAGCCCACTTATAACTACCCCTGAACCTCCAAGAAAAAATATAGAGCTAAAGAATCTCAGAAGATTATCGGAGGTGGGAAACTCTGTTAGAAGTTTCATGGCCGTATCCCCTAGTTCCAAGACTCTCATCTCTGAGCACCTGTGGTGGTATTTCACCCCATCCCAGACCCGGTCATAAAGAAGCATAGATAAGTACCCATGTGATCCAGGCATAAACCCTATGCTACATAAGTATTAAGGCCCCTGCAGTACCAAAAGCTCTGGGGCCGCAAGGACCTGTTGCAGCTTAAGTTCGGAGGCGGGCCGGGTAGTCTCAACGGCTTTGGACTGCGTGCTCACCCGGGTTTAGGGTTTATACGGGTTCGTCATGCTAGAAGTTAGCAGAAGAAAACAGGGATCAAGGAAGGCCTGTGAGTACTCCTGCATGCGCCTGCCACAGGTTTTCGGGTTGCTTTCTGCAGATGGTGGTGGTTATTGCGAGGATGGTCGCTGTGGTGCTGGTGCTGCTAATGCATGGAGGTAGGCGGCGGGACGTGGTGGTAGAAGTAGGCTGTGGTACAGGAGCTACTTGTGATGTTGCTGCCATTCTTGGTGTTTTGCCTGTTGAAAGTCGTCGTGGTCGTGGTTGTGTTCTACTCTTTCTCAGCACCTGTTTCTACTGCGGCGATGCCGACGACGCCCAAGCAAGGACGACGACGGATTCAACGCGTATCATTACGGCGACGTCATCGACAGTTACGACATGTTCATGCTGTCTGTACCTGCTGCACAAGTAGCACTAGTAGCAGGCCCTTCTGGCCTTCTGGCGCTACGGGTGCAGTAAATCCGACCATGAGCCGTTGTGGCAAACTTGCTCTGGCCGCAGGCGAAACTGGCGCACACTGCCAAGCAGGCTTCTGCACGGCCTATGGCCCTCGCCCTGCCAACGATGATGCGCAGCTTGGCTGCATGTCGCGCAATGCGGTTCCAGGCGCTAGGAAGCAAGAGCTTGGATCCGTACGGCTGATAATAGAAATCCTTCAGTACCCATAATAAGGAATATAGCATAAGTCCCATAGTTTAGGGTCCTTAAGGTATTGATTTATATCATCAACAGTAATACACAGTATGCACTCCAAGCTGACTGGTTCCGTTCATGCGCAGTGTACCCGTGGCCAAGACCTGCTGTAATTATAGAACCAGCACCACTCCCTTCGTCATCTGTCGCGCTCTGCGAATCCGGCAGTCAAGGCGGCGGTCTCTGTTTCCGAATGAAAATATAATGCAGCCCAAATATCCTAAACCCTAAACCCTAAACCCAACTCCAGTGCCGGATGCTGCACCTGGCCGATAGTTCGACCCACTATAGCAACAACGAAGTCGACCCATGTCCCCACCCCCTTCCCCCTGGACTTCTGCCACAAGTGAGCCTTTGGGCTTCCTCTAGGGTTTAGGATTTAGGGTTTAGGGTTTAGGGTTTAGGGTTTAGGGTTTAGGGTTTAGGGTTTAGGGAGCATTTTAAAATGGCGTAGCAATTACTCCGCTAGCCGGTGCAGGGAATTCGTCACTTTCAAGCACTTCGCTATTCCGTAAGAGTCTGTAACATGATATAAGGCCCGGTAGCTCAAAACTTTCGGCCCGGGGGTGTAAGCATAGCGAGGCAAAACCGAATTGGCAGTTAGCACTGCTCAGACGGCTCAGATTCTGCTTGCAGTTGCTTTGCTTCGGCACTGTACCACCTGACAGGTACCTTTGCCGTGTCCAGTGGTCTCAAATCGAAGGCTCTGCCGCCTCTCTTTTTGCCGCAAGGCTGCCCATAGTCAGGGTGCAGATAAGTGTGACATGCAGGATGTCACCATCTTTGGTCAATCGCGTGAGGGTGCCGGGCGGATCATTTGGTCAAAGATTCGTTCAGACATGCCCAGACCCTCAAAGCTGTCCAGCGCAATTGCTAAAGGCGGTTGTTTCCCTACCCTGCTCCCTGCTCCGAGCCCTGAATCTCGTACTGTTGCTGCCCTGCGCTGCACCCAAAAGTGCCCTGAGCCCCAAACATTCGAGCCCAACCCTTACCTCGGGCCCGCCCTACCTACTGGAGAGAGCTTAGGTACACTGTAGCCAGAGGCGGCGGGATGGTAGCTGGATGGCCCTACGTTGACCCCAGAGTTTGTAGAACAATGGTCCTTTGCAGGTGCTGGGCCACTATTTCACAGATCTCTTGTGGTTTAAATAACCTTGTAAACCGCGCAAAACACAATCTGTGCCACAAATACTAGGATCTTTATTATAAGAACCCCAAAATAAGGGACCGGAACGCCGTTCCTTCGGCACCAGTAGCGGTGCCTCGTTGGGGATCCGTGCTTTCATCTTTCGGTTTACTTGGAAGTGCATGGGTAGTTCTCAGTGGGGTAACTAAGATTAGAACACACACCCAGACATCTGTATATAAGATTATACATCTATTTATTATTATTATTATTATTATATTATATTATATTATTATTATTATTATTATTATTATTGTTACGACTATTAGTATTATTATAGCCCATATTAGGGACTTATTACCCGCCAACCTCCAAGTAGGCGGCCTAAGACGCTGTTGGGTGGGATGAGGTGGTAAAGAAAGAGCAGTGAATGAGGGTGTAGAGTAATATGCTTCGGGTTTGAACCCAATTCTGGCGCAAATCCGAGGCAGTGTGCGACGGACATGGAGGTGGACGGTTTTACTTGGGTCTAGGCGTTTTTTGAACTGATCTTTGCGGTTTCTAGCGATATTAGTTAGACAACATGAGGCAAAGGCATTCCCCCAAAACCCCGAAGCCCAACACCGTACACGTCAATGCCTAAACATGAGGAGCTGCAAGAGGTGTTGTGGACCCCTCGAAGCCGTTTGATTACGGCTGTTGTGTAGGGCTGTGACCAGTTAGTGCTCTTTGGGAATGTCAGAAGCTGAGCAACCCAAAGTAGGTCCTTCATACAAGGACCCCTGGAATCTAGGAAGCAGTTTTGCTCATTGGTTTTGTGATTGGTTTCGGTACCTGAAACCGTTGGCATGACAACCTAAGCCTCGAACACGAACATAAAGACCGCCCTGACCTTAATACAAGTGCAGCTACTCCTTCCCTAAACCCTAAACCCTAAACCCTAAACCCTAAACCCTAAACCCTTCCTTTATGAGAACCCCTCACCACCAACGAAAGCCCACGGCCCTGATCTCGGCAAGAGCTGAAGTCCGACATCCGCAACCCTGACAGAAACAGCAAGGGTCAAAGCCACTACACCCGAGACCCGAAGTCTAAACCCTATATGGGGGGTTTCCGAAAATAGGGGACCCTAATATAGTACCCTAAATAATAGGATCCTTATTATAAGGACCCCTAATTTTCGGAAACTCCCATATCTCAGAGCCTATACCGTAATCCCGAACCCTAAACCCTGAGAGCCCGATATACAGGACCCCAATATAGACGCCAAGTAGTAGGATGCTAAGGACCCCCCCAAAAAGGGACCTTGAAGAACCTACACCCAAAGACCCTAAACCCAGAAGCCTTACTACTTACTACTTAGACCCACTGAGCGTTAATGAGCCTTGCAAACCCTGGACCCCAAACCCTAAACCCCAAACCTACAGGGCTCGTGCGAAGTCGGAGTGTGAGCGCACGTTGTCCACCTTAAAAAAACCCCAAACCCCAAACCCTACATCCCTAAACCCCCTGGCAAGAAAAGGTTGCTCAGTTTCCGAGCTCCTCCCCTCCTTGCTCGAGACCGAGCTCGGGAACGTTGGCTGAACATGGGGAGTTCTTTAAATTTCCCTTCTAGGGTTCCTTCCAGGGATCTGTAAGGGTTTCTAGACGGGTACTGTTTTTTTTCTGTATGGGCAGCTCTCTAAATTAGGCCCCCTTCTAGGGTTCCTTCAAGGGATCTATAAGGACTTCTAGACGGGTACTGTCGGGGTTCTATATGGGCAGTTCTCTAAATTAGGGTCCCTTTTAGGGTCTTTTTTAGACGGGTGCCGTATTGTTTTGGGCCTACAGAGGGACCCTAATCTAGAGAACTACCAAACAGGAGCTCGCATCCTGGGGGTTCCTTATTAGAACGAAAGCGCAACATACCCCGAAGCCCTGTTTGTTACGAAGGATCACATTTGTTCTTCATGGTTATCAGAAAAAACATACAAGCCTTACTTAACATGGTTTAGGGCTCGAATACATAACGAGAAAGTGCAGGCAGTGCAGGCTCATACTGCGTAAGCCTTAGTCTGCGGAGGTCATGGGGTTGAATTCTTTTGGGGCTTACATTGGTTCTTCATGCTTCTCGTATTAACCCTACATTTCCCAATATAGACTTGTGAAGAACCCTAAACCCACTGTGTGCCTCGTACAGGGGGCTTTTAGTGTATGCCTCACCATGGGGCGGAGCTCGCTCGCACGAAAAGGGCCTCCACACTTTAAAAAAACACCCTAAACCCTAAACCCTAAACCCTAAACCCTAGACCCTAAACCCTAAACCCTAAACCCTAAACCCTAGACCCTGACCCCTAGACCCTAAACCGTAAACCCTAAACCGAGAGAGGATTCGACTCTGCACCCTCATCCTGCGGCTCGAGCTTAGGAACCTCGCGGACGCCAGAAGCCCCGAAGAGCGGCAGAGGGTCGTAGAGGCACGGATGCTCATGGCAGCGTTTTAGGGTTTAGGGTTTAGGGGTTAAGTGTTTAGGGGCTTTGGGTTTAGGGTTTGAGGGTTTGTGGTTTAGGGTTTAGGGGTTTCGGGTTTAGGGTTTTCGGGTTTAGGGTTGGAGGGTTTGAGGGTTTAGGGTTTAGGGGTTTAGGGTTTAGCGGTTTAGGGGTTTCGGGTTTGAGGGTTTGAGGGTTTAGGGTTTAGGGGTTTAGGGTTTAGGGGTTTCGGGTTTAGGGGTTTCGGGTTTAGGGTTTGAGGGTTTAGGGTTTAGGGGTTTAGGGGTTTAGGGTTTAGGGGTTTGAGGGTTTGAGGGTTTCGGATCCTCCTAGCCGAGTGCTTTCTGCATCAAAGCTTCACACAG